TAAAAAGAATAATAAAAACGATATAAATAAGGCGCTTAATAAAAGAAATAAATATTAAAAAACTAAAAAAGCTAATTATAAAAGAATAATAAAAAGTAAAAACTAAAGATAAGTTCTTATATATAACTAATAGTATAACGATATATATTTATAAATCTAACTCGATATTTATAAATAGTAATTAAACTATTATTAATATAGTATATAAAAAAGCTTTATATTATTAAAATAATAAATAAGCTTAACTTATTATAAATATAAAAAATAAACTATACTAACTATAAATAGTAAAAAAGAACGAGTTAATTATAATTATAAATATATTAATTAGGAGATTATATACCTTTGATATTTACTAATAATTAATAAAAATAACTATAAATAATATTATAGAAATTAGAAATATAGACGTTATTCTAAGAATTTGTAATTATAAAAGTATAATTTATAAATAAATTAGACTATTAGCTAGGTCTTATAAAAAAATCTAGTTATTAAACTATTTAAAAAAAAAGGGTTTAAACGGATTTTTAAAAACTTTTAAAAATAAAAATAAATATAATATATAGCTTTTATTAAAAAGTAAAAAGCTTTAAAAAGTTTATAATTAGATAACGATTAAGGATTAATAACTCTAAATTATACCGAAGAGTACTAAATATATATAAAATTATTTATAAAACCTAAAGAAATAGGATTATTAAAATATAGTAATTAGATATAGAAATTAATTTAAAAAAGAACGTAACCTAGGTTCTATTTAATATATTTAATAAATTAAAAAAATAAAAATATTTAATAAATATATTAAAAAAACTTAAAAAGGATATATTTAACTATTAATTTTTTATAAGATTACCCTATTCTTTATATTAAAAAAAGGAATAAAAAAACGAAGACCTAGTTATTAACTATAAAAAACTTAACGAAATTATAAAAAAGAATTACTATTTTTATTATTTATTACGAGCTTAGAGATCTATTATATAGAGCTAACTAGTTTATTATAATAGATTTAAAAAAGTATTTAACTAAATCCGAATTAAAAAAAGAAATAAATAGAAAACGGTATTCTAACTTATAAAGACTTTTTAATATTAGTTATACCCTTTAATTATTAACGTACCGGTAACTTTTTAAATAATAGTTAACTATATTCTAAGAGTACGTCGATATTTTTATTATTATTTATATTAATAATATTCTTATCTTTCTTTAACCTTGAAATATATAAAAAGTATATTTATATAGTATTTTAAAACTTTAAAACCTAAACTATATACTAAACCTTTAAATACGAATTCTATATATAAAAGTAACTTTTTAAATATACTATTATATAAAATAAATCTATATATAAATATTAAAAGTAAAAGTAGTTAGGACTAGCCTATACTATAAAACGTTAAGGAGTATAAAGATTTTTAGGATTCGTTAATTTTATTAACGATTCTTTAAAGACTATATTAATATTATTAAACCTTTTAATAATTTAATATAAAAAGATAACCTATTTATTTAGGATCTTAAGTATAAAAAAGTATTTATTAAAGTTAAAATATAGTTATTTTAAACTAATTATTATAATCCTAGACCCCGAAAACCTTTTAAAGTCGAGACTAACGTTTTAAACTTTATAAAAGCGGTTTAAAATAACGAAATAAATAAAAAAACTTTATTATATTATTTTATTTTAAAGTATTTATAGAGTAGAATTAAATTAATAAATCTATAATAAAGAACTAATAGTAATTATTAAAGTATTTAAAATAAAGACTATAGTTATTAGAACTAAATACAAGTTATAATCTATATAGACTATAAAAACTTTATAAACTTTATAATAAATAAAAACTAAATAAACGATAAGTTAAATAGAGCGAATTTTATTTAAATATAATTTCGAATTATTTATTAAAAAGGTTTAAAAATAGTAAAGCGGATACTTTTAATAAAAGACTAATTATAAAGTTACGGTCCCTAAAAAATATAAATTATTTTTAAATAAAAAAAAGACGGTAGCTTTATATTAACTAAAGCTTTTTATAATAGCTAAAAGATTAATATTAGCCCGACTAAAAGAATAACCCCTAAACTTATTATAGAAATTTATATATACCTATATAGTTATTAAAGAGTTATTAAAATATAAAACGGATTAATAGTATTATAATAAATCTATATATACTAAAATTATAAAAGTAATTAAAGACTACGCGATTATAAAAAAAATAAAAATAGCCTATATAAGCCCTATAGCGAGCTATAACTATTATTATTATTAATAGAAGTATAGTAATTAATTTTATAGGACTTTATTATTAAACTATTAAAGTCTAAAGAACTATTTATAAATATATATAATAGTATTTTAGTTATAGTTAACCGACTTATTAAGTTCGCTTATTTTATACTTTATAAAGAAGTTAATAGTAAAGGAGTTAGTATATACGTTTTTTAAAGTCGTTATTATTAACTATAGTATACTAAAAGAAATAGTATTTAATAGAGGCTCTTATTTATTTTAAAGTTTTAAAGATCTCTAATTTCGTAACTTAGTATAGATTATAAACTATTAACCTCTTTCTATTATAAACCGATAGTTAAATAAAAAGAATTAACTAGATTCTCGAAATATACCTCCGTTATTATATAAACTACGATTAAATAACTAAGTAGTATTATTATTAATAGCCTAATTTATATATAATAATATAGTTAGTAAAAGTATAAAAGAATCCCCGTTTTATTTTAATTACGGATTCTAGTTAATAATATATAGAGAAGTATAATAAAGACTATAAGCTATAAAAGCTATAATAAACGTTATAAAACTTAAAGAACTTAAAAAAAAGTATTTCTAGACCTTAAATTTATATATTAATATATAAAAAAAACGCAGATAGATTAAGATTAAAGGACTAATTTTAAAAAGGGGGATAGTACCTATCTCTTTATATAATATTAAAATAAAAACTAATAATAAATTAAATTATAAAAAACTTAGACCTTTGAAATTATTAAAAAAGTCTTATTAATTAATTACGAATTAAACTCCTAATATAATAAAATACTATTAGTCTTTTATATTTTATTTCTCGAACTAGTACTAAAGGTTTATATATAAAAGATTATATTATTATAAACTAAACGAACTAGAATACGAAATTAAAAGATTATTAACTATAGAATTAAGAACGAAATATAAAATTTTAATTAAATAAAAGAATTATAGATATAAAGAAAATATATAAGAACTTATTACGAACCTCTAGAACTCCGATAGCTTTTTAAAGAATACTGAAATTAAAATTAAACCTAGAACTCTTAGTTATTATAGCGTCTTAATTAATATATTAAAAGTATTACTAACTATATTTACGGGCCTTAAAAAAGTACTTTTAATATTTTTAAAGAATTCTTTAATATAATATAACTCTTTTTAAAAACTATTCTTTTTTATAAATAAAGACGTTTTAATTTAATAACGATTTATTTAACTCGGCCTAAGCTTTTTAATAAGCCTTAGCTTTTTTTTATAACTCCGTAGCTCTTTTTTAAAATCGTAACTCCTTTATTTTTTTTATAATTAAAACGATTAGATTTTAATACTAAGTAATTAACTATACTTAATTACTAGACTTAGTAAATAAAAATATAATATTTATAAATATAAATAGTATTAGTAAAAGTATTATAAAAAATACCTAAGGATAATATATTTTATAAATATTAGAATTAAAAAGAACTAAGTACTAAACGCCTCGCAACGATAATTTAAATAAAGTATAATTTTATACCTTGTTAAAAAAACGAATAATATATAATAGTTTATAACGAGACGTAGCTATTTAAACTTTAATTTTTTAATTAACTTAATATTATATTAATATATTTTTAAATAAAATATATTTAACGATTCCTTAATTAAGAATAGACGACCTATTTATAAGCTTAAAGACTAGACTTTTAAAAAAAGAGCTAATATTATAACTTAATATATATAATAAAGCTAGGCCCTATTTATAGAACCTATATAGCTATTATATTATATATATAAAATAATAGATTTAAAACGACCCTTTTAAGATAAAAGAACTATAAATAAGTTATATAACTATAATTATATAATAAAATAAAGAACGGATACCTATAAATAAATAAACGTACGATTATAAATAAATAAATAATAACCGTTTAATAAATAATTAAATAATAATAAATAAAATATTATAAAAATATATTTAAAAATAAATTATATATAGTATAGATTTAAGCCGGGCTTAAAAATAGACTTCCTATAGCTTTTTTAATAATTAATTTAATATTAAATTTTACGATCGCTTTTAATTATTTTTATTAAAAACCCCTTTTAATAAAACTATAATTAATTATTAAAGCTTTATTTATTTTATAACTTATAAATATAGCTTTAAAAAAGCTATTTATAATTATAATACTATTTATTTAGCTTTCGTAGCGTTAACTTCTATTAATATATTTATTATAACTAGCTAGCCGTAATACTATAGCCGTTACCGATTTAAATTATTATTAATAACGTAATATATATTATAGGTTTTCGTATTTATCTACGTACTGTCTCTTCTGCTTATCTAATCGCGCGTGCGCTTATATAATACTAGTGGATTTCCGGATAAGCGGGTCCCAGGTTAACCCTTTACACATTGCTTTTGTTTACATTATATAATCACCTTACGCCTACGTCCGGGCAATAGCGCTTTTAAGCTAAACCGGTTCGGCCCCACCCAATAAGCTGACTGCGGTGAGTCATCACATTACTAATCCGGTCACGTGGGCGCTGGTCATGTGACCATGCGTCACGTGGGTCCGGTACACGATATGGAATTCATAATGCGCGCACACGTGAGTAATGGATTGACGTCACATTTGGCCGTGTACAGCCGCCCCTGCCGAGGGGTCACGGGGTACGCTTTGTCAGCGTCACGTGGTCGCCAGTCACGTGAGCCGAAAATCGTCGACTGCGGGCGGATTTGAACCGCCTTCCTTTGGATCGCACTAAAAATTAGGCGAGCGCTTAGGCTCCCCAGGCTCACACCACTGAGCCACGCAGCCTAATAACGTAATATATATAATAAGTTTTTATATTTATTTACGTATTATCTCTTTTATTTATTTAATTACGTATGCGCTTATATAATAATAATAGATTTCTAAATAAACGGGGCCTCGGTTAACCTTTTATATATTTCTTTTTATATTATATAATTACTTTATACTTATATTTAAATAATAGCGCTTTTAAACTAAACCGGCTCGGCCCTATTTAATTAACTGATTATAATAATTAACTGTACTATTAAGTTAGTTATATAGGTACTAATTATATAAGTATACGCTATATAAATCTAATATATATAGTGGTTTTTTTTTAGCTTTATAAATATAAAAGATCGACCTTAACGGGATTAGGCTTTTAAAAGAAATTATATATTATAATATACTTTTTAATTATATAATATATATAATATACTTGAAATACGCGCTTAATTTAATATAATAATTTTAATATAACAACTACTATATAATTCGGGATAAATAAATTACCCTTTTTATTATTTATTTAAATATTCTATCTTTACGTATTACTTGGGTAATTCTTAATATCGTTTATATAGTATAATTATATAATATTAATAGATACTCCTACTATTTTAATAGACTAATTTTTTTTAAATTTCTTTTTACCTTTTTAACTTTCCTTTTTATAAAGGCTATAATTATAAGTTAATTAATAATAATATTAAAATATATAACGCTACTACTTTATAAACTTATACATATTTAACTAAGTTTATAGCCCCTCTAAATAATAGTAGTTTATAATAATAGTTTATAATAATAATATTAAAGATACTCTCGTTACTATCGTTAAAATAACGCTGCCTTTATTAATATCTAGCCTTCTTAACTTTAATTTATATATATATATTCGTTACTTTTTTTTTATTAAAATTAAAAAACGCTATTTCTTTTGCTATCTATTATTATTATTATTAAATTATTTATTTACTTTTAAATATATACTATTAAAATATTAAAATACTTAGATATTATTAACCCCTAGGGCTTCTTTAATAGCTATTAGAAATTTAATTTTATAACTATTATATTAAAAGACCCCGGGCTATAATAAAACTATTTTAAAAAATATAAACTAAATACTATTAAATTGAAGATCTAAAATAGGTATATTAATATTAATATCGCTATTATTAATACTTAACTTATATAATATAGCCTCGAAATATTTAATTAATTTTAAAATATTATTAATATTTTAAAATCGTAGTATAGAAATAAATTAAAAAAACTAAAAAGGATATTTTAAAGTTATTAAATAGAGTAAAAAATAGAGGGTAATATTCGGTTATTTAGAAAATAATTAATATATTATAGCGGGGTTATTAGTATTTTAAGTTTAGTTAATATCGATAGCTATAGCTAGCTATAGTTAGTTTTAAAGTTTATTATATAGTAATATACGATATTTATTTTAATAGACTAGTTTATTTATAAAGGTAAAGATAGCCCCTAATAAAGCGGGCTAGACCCTAAAGGGACCCTTTTTATTATATAATAATAGTAATTAAAAAGGTTAATTATAGAGGTTAGTTATAATGGTTAGAGGTGGCCCTTAATTATAAAAGTTCTAAACTTTAATAATAATATAAAGGTTTTTTAAAAAAGAGCTAAAAGGGTTAATATTTAGTTACTTTATTATATTAAAGTTTATAAAAAAAATTATTTTTATTATTTTCTATATTATTTATAAACTTCTCTTTATCTAAACTAACTAAACTACTAAATAAACCTATTAAACAAACCTATTAATATATAAACTATTAATCTATATTTAATATATAGTTAGTAATTAACGGGCTTAGACTCTTTAATAATACCCCTTAATAAGTCTACCCCCCTCGGACTATGCCCTTTTTTCAATTAACTTAACGCTAAAGCTATTATAATAAATAAAAAAGTAGGAAAATAGTTCTTAATAATATAGGATTTAGCTAAATAATAATATAAATATTATAAACGGATAGGCTAATATTAATATTAAAATCTAATATATTAATACTAATTTAATTATATAATTAAAATAAATAGGCTAGAAATATATAAAGTTAAAATAATAAATTAATATTTAAAACGGCTTTTATAAGTCCCCCTAGGTAGTAATAATACTTATATAAAAAAGAAATTATATTAAACTTAGCTATTTATATAGGCTAGTATTAAGAGGTTTTATATATATTAAAATAAATAAAGCTTACCCTCTAAACGGGTAGTAAAAGGTCGGGAGTTTTAGTTAGTAATTAGGTTTAGAGCGTAATATACTTACTTTTCCTTAATATATAATATATAATACGGCCCCGGTAAATTACTTTATTAGGGGGACCTAGTTCTTTATACATACTATAAATTTCTTTGCGGTTCTTTAAAAATACTTTGTTTAATAATCTAAGCTTTTTATAATAGCTAAAACTTTTTATTAATTAATAGCCTATTTTTATTATATTTTAATAAGTTTTAATTAACGTAAACTATAGGGTATTACTTTATATTTATAAATTTAAATAGGATATTCAAAATTACTCTTTAAAATATATTTATTTTTATTTTAATATTTCGAACGGGGTCCTTATAACGGAATATTATTATTAATATAAATACTATTTTTAATTTATTAAATATAGCTTAGGCTTCGTTAAGCTAAATAAACTAGCTACTTTCTTTTATTAAACTTATTTTTTAAAAAAGGCTTTTTATTTATAATATTAAATTTAAATAATTAAATATAAATTTATAATAACCCCCCGATAGAGCAATCCGCCGGGGCCGTACTATATATTACATATTAAAAAAAACTAGGTATATTACGCTCTAAACCTAACTACTAACTAAAATAGTAATTAACTAACTTAACTATTTTCTCCCTTTTATTAATAGCTCCCGACCTTTTACTACCTATCTAGAGGGCAAGTTTTACTTACTTTAATATATATAAAACCTTTTAATATTAGCCTATATAAATAGCTAGGTCTAATATAATCTCTTTTTTTATATAAATATTATCGTTACCTAGGGGGGTTCGTAAAAGCTATTTTAAATATTAGTTTATTACTTTAACTTTATATATTTTTAATTTATTTATTTTAGTTATTATAACTAGGCTAGTATTAATATATTAGATTTTAATATTAATATTAGCCCGGCTATTTATAACGTTTATATTATTATTTAGTTAAATTCTATATTATTAAAAAGTATTTCGCTACTTTTTAAACGTATTTATATTAGCTATAATAGTTATAGTATCGAGCTAGTTAAAAAAGGGGCCTAGTTTAAGGGGGGTAGACTTATTAAAAGGCATCGTTAATTTACTAATTATTAACTATATATTAAATATAAAGTAAGTTCTTATCGATATAGTTTAACTAGCCGGATTCTTAACTAGTTCTAAGTAATTATTTAACTAATTACCTAGCTAGTAATTTATATATTAATAAGTTCGTTTAATAGGTTTATTTAGTAATTTATTTAGTTTAAATAAAGAGAAGTTTATAAATAATATAGAAAGTAATAAAAATAAAAAGAATCTTTATAAGCTCTAATACGCTAAATATTAGCCCTTTTAGCCCTTTTTTTAAAAACCTTTATATTACTATTAAAGTTTAGAACCTCTATAATTAAAGGCCGCCTTTAACCTTTATAGCCGACTTCTATAACTAACCTTTATAATTAACCTTTCTAGCCGCCGCTACTATATAAAGTAGTTTATTTATTTTAAATTATATAGCGGTTTTTATATTAAAATTACTATATTAAATTAAGCGTATATTTAGGGTATATTATGCGTATTATATAATCAAAAAGTATACTATATTATATAATTTCTTTTAAAAGCCTAATCCCGTTAAGGTCGATCTTTTATACTTATAAAGCCGGAAAAAAACCACTATATAAATTTATAATAGATATTATAAAACCCTAAAAATATTTATATTTCTTTAAATATAAATAGTAAATATTATTTAATAATAAATCGTATTTAACTTTTATTTATTAATACTCTTTTTAAAATAATTATATACTCTAAAAACTTTACTCTTTATTAATAAAAGCTGTATTTACTTAGCTTTATAAATAAATAAAACGTTTTTAGTTTTTTAAAGACCTTTTTTAAATCCTCTATATATTAATCTCTAGTTATTAAATAAATAAAGATATTATTTATATATGCTATATAATAAATATTTCCTTTTAATAGAGTAATCCGCCGGGGCCGTATTATATATTATTTATTTATATTTTCTACCTTTATTAATTACTTAAACGGTTCTTGATATCGTTTATATAGTATTAATATATAGTATTAGTAAATACTTTCATTATTTTAATAAACTATTTTTTTAGATTTCTTACCTTTTCGATTTTCCCTTATATGAAGTTTATAACTACGGATTAATTATATTAATAGTAATATTAAGTGCGCGACGCTACTACTTTATAAACTTATATACGTACTTAGCTAAGTCTATAGCCCTCTAGGTAATAGTAGCTTATAACGTTAGTATTAGAGATACCCTCGTTACTATCGTTAAAATAAGGCTGCCCTTTATAAGCATTATTATTAAATTATTTACTCTAAATATATACTACTAAAATACCGAGACGCTTAGATATTATCGACCCCTAGGGCTTCTTTAATAGCTATTAAAAGTTCAATTTTATAAATATTATATTTTAGGACCCCGAATTATAATAAAATCGTTTTAAAAAATACGTATTAAATACTATTAACTTAAAGATCTAAAATAAATACATTAATATTAATATTGTTATTATTAGCGCTTAATTTATATAATATAACTTAAAATTACTTAATTAACTTTAAAATATTATTAATATTTTAAAATTGCAAAATAAAAATAAATTAAAACAATAAAAAGGGATATTTTAAAGTTATTAAATAGGGTAGAAAATAGGGGGTAGTTTCTTAGCTATTTAGAAAATAATTAATATATTATATTATTAATAATAGTTCA